TCTTGTCCTCAATTTTCTAGTGAGTGGGAGAGAAGGGCCGTTAGAATGATGCTGGCAGAGCCGGAGGGGCAGGGACGGGGCAGAGCCACGGGGGACAGGGGCCACGGGAGCCCTGGGGCCGCGGTCTCCCCGGCTGAGCGTGCAGGATGGTTTTTCAGCACTGATGTGGTGACCGACTCGATGGGTTAGGGCTCAAAAACTCCTGGGATGCAGGAGCCCAGAGCAGGCTCAGCTCCCGGGTACCACAAGATGTTCAGGTATCCGCTGCCTTTCCCTCCTACAGCCCCTCACCTTGATGGTGAACCCCTTTTTGCTCAGCTCGTCCAGGAACTTCTTCCTCTTGATTTCCTTCGCGCTGCCCACCTCATGGATGTCGCTCACCAGGACAAAATCCCACTTCTCTTCATCCTGCCCGCAGAAAATGCCAGGGAATTAGTGAGGGTGGGAAGCCAAGAGCTCTCCCTCTCGGCTCCAGCCTCTCAGTGGTTTGGATCTTCATTGTGACCGTGTAGAGGGGCCCTGGGAACTGGGAGGGAGCAGGAGAGTGGGGATGGGGAAACTGAGGCAGCTCCTGCTCCCCTCTGAGCTGTGCCGCGCTCGCCGCGAGCGCGGAGGGAGCAAAGCTTACCGGGGGGGCAAACGGGTCCGAGTCTTCGACGGGAAAATCCCTCCAGGGAGTCAGCAGAATTTCATCCTGTGGAACAGAGAACAAGCTGGTGTGAAGCCTGCACCAGTACGCTCCTGCTCTCCAGTTGGGGTCTTCCTGAGCCACATACGGCTCCGTGTTCAGGGATCCCAAGGGGCTGTGGCTCCGTGAGACCGCCTCTCGAGCTCCTCTAATACCAATTTATGGTACCCTGGGGTCGGAAGGGAGCCAGGCAGGACGGAACCTCCCCCGCTGCTCCGGACTTTGTTCCTTCTTGTTTCACCTGGTGCCCTGACGTTTGCACTGGGAGAGTCAACACGGAGCTCTCTCCGTGCTACGGAGTTTTTTTACGGTCTTTAATCGACCTTTTCCCCTCCATAGTCCTTCCTTTCCGATAGGGCACTGGTAACTTTTTGGCGAGGGTGGGGAAAGTGGTTTTGACTCCCGGCGAAGGGAGAGTGGGATACGGACGGTCTGCGGCTCGTGCGACCCTGCGGACGGCAGTGAAGCGGGTGGGGGGGAAACGAGTCCTTGAAAAAGACGGCGGATGCTGCCATGAGCAGCCTGGGATGCCCTGGACCTGGTGGGGATCGGCT